ATTTATTATGTTTTGTTAATTGATATTTTGATATTTTGGATTTATGTTATTATAACTGTATATTTTTATGTTAGCCGCTCAGAGTGGTACCGAGTTACCAGATGAGCGGGATACAAATCAAATAAATAAATAAATAAATAAATAAACAAATAAATAAATATTTTTTCCTGCTGATTTAAATCTTCAGTTAAATCATTGATTTAATTTAATTTGCCCTGAGCTAATGTAATGTATTCTTAATTACAAGCCCCCGCTTCATCGTGGAATGCCAAGTACTGGAGCCACTCCAGTGATACCTAGCTAACCTCTAGCACCAGCTACATCGATCCCAGTTCAGAGCATTGGCAGCCATCCTAATATAGCCAGTTTTGCCTGGTCATTGCAGAGAATTGGAAATAAACAAAGAATCTAATGGGAAAAAAATTAAACCGTAAGTTAGGAGAAAATAGTTTTGATTCTGCTTATATAGTCCAATAATGCTAGGCAGAATTGTCTTAAATTGGGGGCTTTCATGAGGAGGTGATTGATCCTTCTTTTGGTTTTTTGTTTTATTTTTTGGCTCACTCCATTCTATGACATAATAAACTGAGAAAGGCCTGCCCAAGACATTTTGCAACTGACACTGGAACAACAAATGGTACATGCCCCCATTCATGCACAGCAGACATAATCCAGACAATGGTCCTGACCAATCGGACAAGATACTTGTGCACATAAGGCCAAAAATCCTGCGAGTGCCTTTCTCATCCATTTCAGAACAAATACAGCAATAACAGATTAAATAACAAGCATTGCAGGCCTCCACAGATTTCAGTACATAGAATTGTATTATTAATTTGTTTAGAAGGGGGAGAAAGACCTGAAACTTTAGAAATACATGTATCCTTTGGGTATAATTCCTCTGCAGCATATAATAAGCAGTATTCACTTCACATTTTTGATCAATCTATCACAAACGTTTCAACTTGTGCAGCGTGTATTAGCTGGGTAGTCGTGCGATAGCGGTATAATAACTTCAACCTAGTTAATATTGTTATTCTCAGACATGAAATATATGTATGCAAAATCTATAGAAAACAAAGCGTTCCAAAAGTGTCTAATAAATACCTGCTATGAGTATTCCATAAATTATGTATCGAATTCTGGTTTCATGTTTCTTGAAAAAGCGAATGACAGTATCATATTTATTTTCAAGATACCTGGAATGATAAAAGCAAAGGAGGTGTTGGGGAAAATAAATTCCAATAAAATAACAATGTTCAAGGAGCAATGCTTCAGCAGTAGAAGTGACACTGGGTTAAATCCAAAGTTCAGCCCAACCCAAGTAGACACATCAAAGTAGGCACATCAGCATACAAAGAGGAAAATGAAGGAGCGAGGTTTCGTTCCCAGCAGAAGTAGCAAATGGAAAAGCTTCACCCAGCATTTCTGCCAGCATTTCAACCAGGTCCCCATCATGATATAGTCTACAGCAGGGGTCCCCAACCCCTGGTCCATGGCCCGGTGCCGGCCTGTGACCTTGGCTGGACCAGGCCGCGGAGACATATCTTCCGCCTCCCGCACACACTCCCCTCCCATGCCCCCCGCACAGCCCCCTCGTGCATGCATGCAAGTGCACACTATGCAAGCGCCCCACCCATTTGCGCATGTGCACAAGTGTCCACGTACCCGCATGAGCTAGTGCCACCCCTTCGTGCATGCATGTGAGCGAGGGGGGTGCCCCGCCCCACACATGGACCCCAACCAGTCCACAGTGTCAAGGTTGCGGACCACTGGTATACAGGAGACAGAATCCCACTAAACTCCATTTCAGTTCCTTATCCCTGTTTTAATGATGCAATAAGTTTTCAACAATAAAAGTGGTCCCTAAATGCTATCCTGAACTGCATAATTTACAGCAGAGTGGATTAACCCACAGACACTTTCCAGATTCCTTTACCACTTTCACACATATGTTTTCTTGAGACACATAGTTTTCATTCCTCAGTCTTCTTAAACACTGACAAATACTGGTTATAAATTATGCAGAAGTCCCCTACCGTCAAATAATTGTTTAGAAAGCCAAAAATGCAGAAAGAAAATGGCAGCACAAAACTGTAAACAATACTTACTGGTTTTCCCATGTCTGTGAATTAACACACAAGTACTGCCTACCAGGTACTATGATGCACTTTTATAATGGTATGATCATGGGCAGATCTGATTTACAGTGTAAAATAAATACAGGATGTACAAAGCTTGGAATAAGAGAATGTACTGCTATGTTTCTAAGTACCGTACATTTAACAACCCTGCACATAAATTATTTTACTGAGGCATATTATTATAATTACAGGACAATTCTCATACACCACAACTTCTATTAAAATGAAAACCCTTTTAAGAACTTTAAATCAAGCTGAATCAAAATCAGAATAAATTTTGTCTGTACTAGCATCTTGCAGATGCACTTATTATTTTAACTAAGCATCTGTCCAATATGATTCAGGGTGCCAACTGTATGATATACAACAAGGAAACTAATCTAAAAATACCTTTATATACTAATTAAAAACCCACATATCAGTAATACTTATCAGCCTTGCATCCTGCAAGCTTGATCAAATAAAAAGGTTTGAACCAGTGCAAATTCAGAACACAGAAAGTTTAGTTCTCTCAAAGTCCTGTGTGATTTGGGTCTAGGCCAGTAGTTCCCCACCTTGGGTAACCCAGGTGTTGTTGAACTGCAAGTCCCAGAAACCCTGGTCCGCACACTTGGTGGTGAAGGCTTCTGGGAATTGCAGTCGAAGAACACCTGGGTTGCCCAAGATTGGGAACGACAGGTCTAGATTACAGTATATAAAAGACGTCATCCACCCATGCCTTAAAACCTCTGGCAGAAGCCCTGTCACAGTTCTACCACCTGCAAAGGCCCATATGGTAAGAATTCAAGACAGGGCCTTCTCTCTGGCTGCTCCCAGGCTCTGGAAGTCCATATCAAGAGAGACTAGGTTCTCTTCCTTTCCTGCTCTCCTTCTGGCAGCAGGCAAGGGCCTTTTTATTTAAGCAGGTCTTTGGTATTTATTTTATTTGAAACAGTTATAGCTCTCCTGATAGCACAAAAGCCTCCACTTATAAGTTACCAGTTGTGCCACTTTTCGTTGTTTTAAATTACTATGTCACCTCACCTTGGGTCCCAAATCTGGGAGAAAGCTGGAAGTTTTCCTAAGGTCCAATAAATTATTTGAATTAACAAGGGACACACATCTATTGCAGAATGATCTTCTTGAGGCTGCTGAGCAACAATTCCTAGCTAATAAAAGGAGTTACAAAGTTCTCTCTTCCTTGTTTACATGGCAGATACTTGCCCAAGTAATTAGATGCTAAAGACAACAAGTGATGAAGGAACTAGAAAAGATCCTGAAGTGTAAGGATGTCTTTTTGGGAACCAAGACCTTCATACTGTGATACATCTGACTACAATGCAGTGCTGTGAAAGCTGAATAATAGAAAAGGCTGAACTATGGTGTTAGATGAGATCTTTAAGCATACTATGGACTTCCAGAATTGAGTTCTAAATCAAACCAAGGTTGAATGCTCAGAAGAAGCTAAAATGACTGCACTGGGCTATTTTATCTGGACATATCAGAAGAAGACAAGACTTCTAAGTAACTACTGTATTTTTCCATGTATAAAATGACACTTTCCCCTAAAATAATTAGGGGAAAATGAGGGTCATTTTATACACGGAAGGAGGCAGAGGCAAAGGAGCACTCAGGCACCTCTTGCTGCCGCCGCCGCCGCCCATTGCCTCCTCCAGTGTGACTGCCGGGGCTCACCTCCAGCTCACGTCGCTGCCTTGTCCCCTCCGGTGGTGGAGGCCACAGCAGCAGCACGAGATGGAGGCAAAGGAGCACTCATGTGCATTCGGGCGCCTCTTGCTGCTGCCCATTGATTGCTGCCACAACATCGCCTCCTCTAGCGCTCCCTTCAGGCAGGGGACAAGGCTGCAACAACGTGAGCTAGAGGTGAGCCCCAGCAGTCGCAATGGAGGAGGTGGTTGGGCAGTGGAGGCAGCAGGAGACGGAGGTGGAGGAGTAATTGCCCATTAACTGCTCCTTTGCCTCCAGCAAGGGTCAAAATTAAGGGGCAACTTATACATTGGGGGTTGTATACATGGAAAAATACGGTACTGTCCTCTTTGTCATCTGAACATGAGATAGATGACATCAATAATTGGTCTTTATTTTTCAAGACCTGAGTAGTGTTGGCAGTAAGAGGACTTTCAGAGGTAATCAATTCACAGGGTTGCCATAGGTTGGAGGTGACATGATAACACATAATAAAGGCAAACATAGGAAAGCAGATGTCCTCTTCTTGTCCTGTTTCTCTAATTGGATAGTACAAAATTAAAAATGCTGATTATGGAAAACTATTCTGACATAGAATAGTAATGTACATTCTTATGCCATACTGACAATTTGTGGGGCAGGTCTGTGAAGTTCAGCGTCAGTTTTATATTCATTATAAGGAAGTAAGCTTCACAGTTTTGACTGCAGCTTGCTTCCTCATAGTTGTGGTTGTGGTAGGGTATCATAGACAGCGGCGTGAATACTGTACACAGATTCTTGATTTCCGACATTGGTTTTAACCTTTCAACCTTCAGATCCTAGAAAGGATCCAGAGACTGCCAATTTCATTATGAACCTGCCCAGAGTCCAAAGACTCGATCAGACGGGCATTTGTCCTGCTATTTGGTATGCTGCAGGGGAGGGTTGGTTTGCTCTTTTTCCTGGTAATCAGAGACTTAATCACTTGGCTAACCAAGTGGGGCTCCGGGAGTGATTAGAAGGAAGAGAGGGGCCGCTGTTGCTTGCAGACACATGAGTGGATGGTCTGGCCCGGGGGGGGGGGGCTGAACCCTCGTTAAGACCAGCTGTGCAGGGGTATTCTTATACGAATACTCCCACCTCTAATCATCAAGTAACTTAATAAGCGAGCCACTCCAGGATACTGGCAAATTGAACACTTCCCTTGCTCATCTGTGGAGGGGCAAGAGAAGTGATTTTCTTCTGCTGCTGGACAGTTGCTGATGCATTGAATCACTTAGGCAAAGAAAATATTTTTCAATTTAATCGAAGTGGGAAGTGCTGAGTGAAGCCACAGCTACAGCAATTTATTCATCAACATTACACACAAATCAAATGATTTTAAAAACACGTTTAATCTAATTGTTTCCATGTATCAATGATGGTCTAGCACAGGTAAAACAACAAAAACAAAAACTCCCCAAAAATCACTTCCTCTGCCTCTCTGCATTTAGATATTAAGATTGCACCAAATGGAATATAACACCTCCTCCCTAACTTCAAGCAATCTTCTTTAGATTCCCAGAGCACCAGTGTAGGTCCAACCTGTGATTGGGAGCTAAAACCTTCTTAAAAATATAATAACCTCTAGAAACACAGAAGAAGACTTTTTCCTGTGTTGCATTCAGGATGCTGAATTCACCCCACTTGGAGCTGTGATCAATTCTCTCTTCAGTTATGCTTTTTGTAATGTATTGCTGATTACTGCAATGATTTTCATAGATTTATTTAATTTTTCAAACTATAAATCCATTTTAGTGATATTTGTTAGCCACTTTGTGCACTGCTTTTAATGTAAAGGCAAGTTAGAAATGTATTGAATAAAATAAACAGTCTCATCTAGCATAAACAGATACCTCAACACACACCTTTTATGTCACACACAAAAAATACAGTTTTAGAAGAGGTAGCTATGTTAGGTTTCTGTGCATTGTTGATTTATGTCTATTAATTCTTTTGTGTATAAACCTGCCTCAAATCACTTCAGTCTACCAGGACACTCTTCAAAAGATATGAAACTTGCTATTCTGTAATAGAAAAACTACAAAACAAGAATCCAGAGGGAAACAGCTGACACAGAAGTTATGCACATGCTGGACACTCATATAAATTGATTAAATATCAGTCAAGGTTTCTTAAGTCACTACCAAATACAATACTTATACTGTTATCTACTGTTATTTTCCTTCACAACTACCAAACCTATATTTCAGAACAAGGCTCAAAAGTAAAGTCTGTCATTCTCTATATTAACATACACTTTTCCTCTGTTGTTCCTTTAATCATGCTACTGCTTACAGCCAGTCTTTAAAGTACCACAACATGTTAAACCTAACAGCAACATGATGTACAGTGATTAACAGGTGAGGAAACATTATCTCCAAACCATGAAAAACTTCATAATCCAATTCTTGCACATCATTAATGACACAGCAATAAGCCAGGTGATGTTTTCTAATAAGCAGGCAATGCTTAGTCATTCCATTTCATTTCAATTCACTTGTGAATTAGGCTATAATCAGAGGAAAATGTATAGCAGAATACAGAAAGTTTGCACTTTGTCTATCTGCTTAATAGGATAAAGCAGAAATACAAAATAAATGTGTTTTTTTCCCCAAATGAGTCATTTCATCAGCATCAGCACATCAAGGAAACTGGCCATATTACTCACAGATTTTCCTCTAGAAAAGTATTGCTTAGTTCTGTACAACTACTGTAGAACTGAGTAGGTGATGATTACTGGAAGATGCTGAGAAGCATCAGTCATCCATAGCTCTGAGAAATCACTCTGTAGAAACTAAAATTATCTGTTGCTTTACATCTAGGTGCAGAGGTTGATAAAAATTATTTCTCCTTTTTAAAAAAGCTAAAAAATTTTATAGCTGTTGCTACAAATTCACCTACAAATGGAAAGAAATCCTCAAGGTCAAATATTCATTGCAAAACTGGCAACGTCGATTTTAGGATGAAGGTTTGTTGAGAACTTGGAAAATTTGTAGAGCAACCATTCTCAACAGAGGCATATGGTGTGTGTGTCCTGGTACATATGAAGGGGGCCACAGACTAGAAACAATTCTTCACACACCACCTTATAAATTATACAATCCTGATGCACCTATATTTCTTTCACATTGTAAATATTGAGAAATGAGTAGGTCAGATGGCAATCTCTGAAATAGGTTTTTCCTCCATTTATAAACAAAAGCTCTGAAGCCAAGACAAAGAATACTAGATTGCCAAGCCGAAGATAACAAGACCATTTATTTATTATATTTCCGATCTTTCCTCTAATGTAGTGCCATACATAGCTCTCTCATTGCCCACTTTATCCTAACAATAACCCTATGAGGTAGGTCAGGTGGAGAGAAAATTAGTGGCTCAAAATCACCCCAAAAGTTTCAGGGCGCAGTGGAGACTAGAACAGAGATCTCTCAAGTCCCAGCCCAGGACCCTACAGCATATGGTCTCTTTTAACACTTCATTTGAAGGGGAAAATGGGAACAGAAGACTCCAAAAATGAGATTATTACCCTTTGGAATCGTTGTCTTCTGCTTCATGTTTGTGTATTTGATGATCTCTGCCAATATCAATGTTGGTTTCATTCTGGAGAGAGAAGAAGCACAACACATTCTTGATAGTGTGATCCTTATCCATTGTTTCTTGTATCACAGTGGCTGACCTTTGCAAATGTCCCCCACATGGAATATAGTGTTCTCTGGGTTTCTCATCTCATTTATCCCCATCACCCGCGGTTGGGGCTGACTGGAAAAAAAAAAACCTGATAGAGAACTTCAATGTGAAACAGGGAGAAGGAACCTCGGGCCCTCCAAATGTTACTACAGTATTCTCTCTCTCCAGTGGCCATGGTTGCTGGCTAGGGTGGATGGGAACTGAAGTTGCATACTGTATTTGGAGGGGTAAATGTTCTCCAACCCAGATAAATACTTTGACCTTCACTTTGGATGCAGGCCAGATTTAGAGCTGTTTGTGGTAATCTCATGAAAAAAAGTTTCTCTTGCCTGGTTCAGGTGGAATGAATGGCCTTTTTCCAAGTTCCTGTTTCTAAACGCAGTATCATCATTCTTGTTTGGGAAGTCACTTATATCCTCCTGAAAGACAGAACAATGGAAGATGAGAAAAAAGTTCAGGTGGATATACCCTCGATCCTCACACTGTATAGCGATGATGTACACTGTAATAAGAAAAAAGCTAAAGCAAATAATAGTTCTTTGCAGAAACAAAATCTGTTATGTTTGATGGGGATGTTGGACTTCAACTCTCTTCAGACCACTTAATTGTGGCAATGTCCAGAGGCTCCCTGAGTTAAGAGCCCTGGATAGCTCAGTGATTTAGGTTAGGAGTTCAATTCCCCATTGTGCCTCCTTGATAGGGATTGGACTTGATCATTAGGGTCTTTTCCAGTTCTGCAGTTCTAAGAGGATGATGATGATCATCATCATCATCATTAACATCTGGAGGGCAACAGGTTCCCAGAACATGAAACCAAGCCTGTAGTGGCCTTTCTCAACATGATCTTTTCTAGATGTATTGGTGTATCACAGACACCTCATAATGAAGTATCAAACTATGATTTCTGGGTTCTAAGATGCCTATTGCCTTGATCACCTGTCTCAGGCTTTAATTTCCTGTGTGAAAGGCTGTTTGCCCGAATCTGATTTGGGAATAGAAGAAAAAAGGGTGAACGGGAACCTGAAAAACTCAGTCTTTCTCTGGTATGAGACACTGAATTATAATCCTATCTAAATTAGAATATCTATTCAAATTTATATCCATAAATGGATATTTGTATATCTAAATCTTATGCAGAATGAGGGGTTAATTTCTTCTTTTTTTGTGTGAAGAGGGAGTGATTCATCTATAGGTTAGACATTATTCTTCACCTCAGCATAAACAAATAGGTTTATTATGTAATATTCAGCTCTTTGAGGAAAAATGGGGTACAAATGTTAAAAAGCACTCCATTCCACTTTTTTCTTTTATGGGCAGTTAACACTGAGAAAGCACACTTCACCTAACATGCACAGCTGCTCTGCCAAGCCCTCCTGTACAGTTTATTGAAAGTCAACATTTTCAAAATGCAGTTGCACTCTGGACACTGCACACATGCACTTGCAAAATGCACAGGTGACTTTTTGGAGTACCATAGGTTTTCATACAGAGGAAGGCGCTTGCATAATGAATTGCACCATGAGGTTTCTTCCTGCATTAGTAACTAATGTTCTCTTTTCTCTTTGTTGTGCTCTTTCCTTTACCTTACTGAGCTGTTTTCTATGGTTCAGCTGTTCAATGGGAAAAGCAAGGCAGAAGAAGGGAGTGGGGTTTTATAGTCCATTTTGTAGCCCTCTTAATGCATAATAGTCTCATTTGGTTGAAAATTCCCCTTAGAAAATAATTTAGCTGCATTCTGTCCCCATCAGGTAAGTATTCATGATGCCAGAGATGTAAGAAATGTGAAAAGCAAGTAAATATGATGCAGTCAATGTTTACCATACTTTCTTCCTATGTGCTCAACATTTTAGCACTAATTTGCTGTTAAATGTTGAATGGGATTCAAACTATGCATCATTATAGAAACCCTATTGTTTACTTACCTGCCAGCAAATTTCTATCCTGTATCAGCAGATTTCAGGGGAAAAAATTCCTGCCACAAAGTCAATTGAAAAGCAACTCAGAGAGTGAAAACAATTTAACTCAAATCAGATGTAAAAGCAAGTCAAGAGATTAACAGCACCACCATTCCCAAGTGTGTCAAGTGTGTTGTAGGATTTAAATCAAGGTGAAATCTGCAGGAAGGAGTGAGGAGTCTGCCCCACAACCACTCCTACTTCTTCTCCCAGCTGGGCTGACTTCTTGTTTTGGAGCCTAGCCAGGATATTTGAGGAAGCCCTTGCAGAACAAACAGTGGACTGGATGTGGTAGAATCTAGCGTCTGCTTGCCCAACAAGCTGTTTGTAGTCTAAGTCATGCTTCTGCTCTCCTCAGTTTTCTACAACTGAAGGCAGACACACATTTAGAAACATGGACTTTAAGTTATTACATTTTACCTTGCCTTTTGTCCAAGATGGTGGTCTTCCCTGTTTTTATTGCCACAAGAACCTAGGAAGCAGGATTGACTAAGAGATAATGGCTTGAATCCAGTTGATTGTCCCAACTTAAATAAACTCATTGAATCTGCGGGGTTTACATAAGTGTTGACTCTTTACCTTTGCTCACAGAGGTGGAGAGGAGGAGGTAAATAAAGTCACATTTTCCAACCTCCCCCCTACACACACACAGACAACTTGGCTTTGGTATGGACTTCTGTTGTGTGAAACAAGTGACTCAGAATTTATCATGGGATCAGGGGTGTCTGGATTGAAGGTTTTGTTCATGGGTGCAGCCAATATTGAAGAGATGAGAGTCTGAGCTGCTTGTGGATTTGTATTCCTTTAATTTATTGGGCACCAGCCTTCCCTTCCCATACAGTGGCTTCTGCCATTTCCCTATTGAGCAAACCTCTTTCTCTCACAAATCCTATTGTCTCAGGAAGTGGGTGGGATTTGGGAAGATTTTGATCCCTTTTCTCCATAAATCATAGAATAATGTTGGAAGTTGGAAGGGGCCTATAAGGCCATCAAGTCCAACCTCCTGCTTAATGCAGGAATACAAACCAAAGGATATCTGCCAGGTGGTTGTCTTAAGTTTCTCTTGAATGCCTCCAGTGTTGGAGCACTCCCCACCTCTCCAGGTAATTGGCTTCATTGTTGCACTGCTCTAACAGGAAGTTTTTCCTGATATTTAACCAAAATCTGGCTTCCTGTGACTTGAGCCCATTGTATTATCCTCTTTCAGGATGCATATTTGCAGGTATACTTCTGTTAATTGGTGTGCTTATGCCCGGAGGGTAGAAAAGGCTGTTCTAAAAAAATTGGCAGAGGCCTATTCCAGATGCCCCCAATTTCAGGTGGGTGTCGTTCATGGACAGGAGTCTTCTTTCTCCATCAGCTATCTAGAGTGCTAGTGCTGTCGTTTCAGGTGTATTCACATAGTTTAGTGTTTTATGAAACTTGCTAACTTGTGAACAGTCTTTGCTGTCCATGTTAATGAGTGTTGTTGCTGAAGTTCTGTGGCTCTTATTTGTATGAAGTCCACAAAGACCTTCAGAGTCCTTTTATTTCTATGTGGGGATACAAGAAAAAGGAAAGTTTTAGAAGAGGTAGCCATGTTAGTGTGTGCTAGCAGGCAAAACCAACAGGGAAAAAGAAGAGGAAAAAAACACATTAGGGCACCTTAAAGACCAATATTTTAAACAAACTGCTGTATTTTAATGCCACCATTTGTGGGCAAGTCTGAGGAAGTGGGCCTGCCCATGAAAGTCCACATTAAAATATAGCAGTAAGTCTTTAAGGTGCTAGAACATTTTTTTCCACTTAATTATTTTTTATTTCTTATTTTGTTTTGCCAGGGAAAAAAAAGAAAACCCATGATAGCAGAAATCGTTGTTTTCCCCCCTTCTCTTTGGGTGCTATATAGCAGTGGTCCTCAACCTTGGGCCTCCAGATGTTCTTGCACTACAACTCCCAGAAGCCTACACCACCACCTCTTCAGGCCAGGATTTCTGGGAGTTGAAGTCCAAGAACACCTGGAGGCCCAAGGTTGGGGACCACTGCTATATAGGTACCAACACCAGAGAAGCTACATCAAATGAATCTGCTTGCGTATGCATATTTTAGCATATGACCACTTTCTCTATAATTTTTTTTACAAGTGCAACAGAGCAGGAGGCTGATAAACATAGCTCCCAGTGCCTCTTTTGTAATAATCTAGTTAGGCAATAACAATTTACAATGACAAAAATCCAGCTGGAGATGCTGAGCTCTTCAAATGGCATCGGTGAATGCAGAATGTTTGGAAAGTCTGTACGAGTGCAAGTGCTACAGTGCTTCAGAGTCAAAAGCAAAGAAAGGGTTGATCTGCTCTGATGACAAAACATGAGACAAAAGAAACAGTCAGTGGAGCCTCTGTTTTCACACAACTGTGTTATCTGAGGCAAGAACACCTTGCATTCACAGGACAGCTCTTGCGAAATCTGGAGAGAACCTCTGTTTCTTTAATGAAACACGAACACACAGGCACATTTCACGGCATTTTAGCTTTTCTAAAGAGCAATGGGGGGGGGGAAACCCACCCAAACTGCTTTGGGACTTACCTCAAATGCAGGGTTCCTGTAGCTGTTAGAAAAAGTTCCATTAACTTCTGGCATTGCCATTGCTTTGGTGAGTGGGTAGGCAGGGAGCCTGGCTTCTTTTCAAAGCTGCAGCTATGATCCTATACGACCATCAACAATATCCATTGGAGCTCTCTATTTGTTATTTCTTCCGAATACAAGAGGTTTACCTGACTGTAGTCACACCCAGATTTCTGAAGCTGAATGAATGCTCCACCTCTCTAAGGAGTCACTGTAGTCACACACTAACCCAAGTGAAAACCCAGGCTTGTGAAATCTTACAGAAGAGGATGATTAACACATGGGGTTGAGTTGTCTGAGAGTTCAGAAGCACGTTCAATGATTATCTCTCTCACAGCCAGACGTCCAGATCTCTGCATAACCTTCTGGTTGTAGCATTAACATTTTAATGCCATTATGCTTTTATTTAAAGAGATGAAGTTATTTATTGATGATGGGATGAAGCACACATTTCAAAGGGCACTGAATACCTGAATTTCTGCTTGCAGGTTATCTAGGCAGAGATGGGAAATGGGCCTGCTAATCAGAGATTTGAAAAAGGGACAGCCAAGATGGCTGGGGCATTTTGAACGCTGCAGTCAACCCCTTCACCAAACAAACAACCCCACCCCCATTTTCCATCTCTATACATAAATCAGGGGAGAGGCAGACAGTGCAGCTAAGTATACAGAGGGGATATCAATTTGCATAAAATTTGCCTGTGCTAGTTTTCATTTCTAATGCAAATTTGGAAAAATACACACCCTCAAGAATGTTTAAAATAGAAATAAGAGTATACAACCTGCCTTAGTGGACATGGGTTTGCCCTGTGTGCCTGCTCATTAAAAAAGAAAAAGAAGATTAGCAAGATATATTTGGCATAAGCTATCATGAATGGCAGCCATTTCTTCACATGGTTCTGAAGATACATTCAAAGAATTGGGCTGTAATCCACAAAACCTATGACAAATTGTTCTTTGCTGTAACAGACTAACACAGCTAGGGCATCTCCTTGGAGTTTAAAAAAATCTATAGTGCACTTGGATCAGGCAGTCATTTCAAACTGTTTGCCTTGAAATGGATAGCCTTTCAAACAGAGGGCTGACCTCTGTGAAGGAAAACTCATGGCCTTCCTATGGACAGAAGGTACATCTGTACAGTATCTTCTGGGAGATCTCTTGAGCAATTTGCAATAGATCAGCAAAGATTTCTGATTGCAACAGCAGCTAAGTGATCTGCTAGGACATCCCAAATCATACTCTTCTAGCAGAGAAAACTTGAAATGACAGACTTTTCCGTGGGAATTAATGGGTCACTTATGCCAGTTAGCATTGTGGTTATCAATCACTGCAGTGTTACACATGTTTGCTTGTGAGCAGGTCCTTCTGAGTTCTGTGAGATTTACCTGCCAGGTTATTTGAATAGGATTGCAGCCAGTGGAATGCAAACAGGCTCAGTATTTTTAAAGCATACCCTGCCTTTCCTGAAAAGTCAAGGGAGCTCATCTAGGATCCCAAACAATAAAATTATACAATATAGAATAGCAGTCAAATTATATGACGTACTCTAAGGTGTGTCATATAATTTAATGAAAATGTATCTCTGTGTTTGTGTTTCATTAAAAAACCTGAAACATGCCCTTTTTATTATTTTACTTAAATAATTTACCTTTAGGTAACTACAAAATATGTTAGCCACAGCAAAAGAATGTAGATAGAAAAAGTTACTGATGGGAAATGGGGAAATAAAGTAACTATGGGGTTGCATCTAAATTACGCAGTAGGGAGCAGCAAGCTGACTTTCTTTGACAGGTTAGTTGAAATAAGCAAAAAGTCTCACATGCCAATTTCAGACCTTGCCAGTGACCCAGGAGGCTCTACTCAACCTAGAAAAGTTTTCTTATTTGAGGAGGTGGGGTACTTTCAGTGGGATCCCTTGTGTAAATCTTACTGAAGGGAGGAAGAAAATGTGTACCTCTTAATGCTGTTGTGACTAGTGCAGATGGCAATTAATTTTTTGCACTTATCGAAGAATCATCAAAAAAGTGAAGTTGGAAGGGGCCTACAAGGTCATCAACTTTGGCTCAACCTCCTGGCTCAATGCAGGAATATAATTCAAACATACCTGCCAGGTGATTATCTAAGTGCTTATATCCCATTCCTCCAAAGGAATGTTGTCTCCACAACAACCTGTGAAATAGGGCAGGCCAAGAGAGTGTAGCAGGACCAAAGTTAACCATTGAGTTTCATGACCATGAAATCACTGTCTGTATCAGTCCGTAAGTTGAGTACCTGGATTCCCCACTGTGCACAGTCCCAGAGCGCCCCCAAAAGGTGAGTACCTGGATTCCTCACTGTGCCTCCCAGGGACTGTGCAGCTTGGCAAGCTGCACAGTCCCAGAGTGCCCCCATTGAGTACCTGGATTCCCCACTGTGCACAGTCCCAGAGCGCCCCCAAAAGAGAATGGTAAGTCACATGTGAGTACTCTACCCAGAAAACCCTAGAATGGCTTGCCATAAGTTGGAATCAACATGACAGCACATGATGATGATGATGATGATGATGATGATGATGATGATGATGATGATGATGATGATGATGATGATGATGATGATGAAGACTGGTAGGTGGGAATCATCAGCCTTGGAAGGCAGCCCATCTAGGAGAAGGAAAACT